GTGCAGCGATGTTGGTCGTTTGAACCCGTCGACACTACGCGCTCTAGCCGAGTCCAAGATCAAGCCAGCCGTGCGCCCGTACATTGACTTCCCATCCTCTGGCAGCATTCTGCCACCGACTTGGTCGCAAGCTGAAGCCGACGGCATTCTAGAAACCTGCAAATGGATATATCACTTGGCACACGGCACCCTACCACCCTCTGAACAGTCCAGCTTTGACTTTGACGGAGATGTAGGAATGGACGAACCAGCGGAAGGTGAGGAGCCTGCAGGTTCTCATCCCATGAAGATACTTATTCACTGTGCCGACGGATACACTGAATCTACGATGCTGGGAATCGCCTATTTCAGCTACAGCACTGGACGAGGTATTGCTGATGCCTGGCTACACTTGCACACAGTCAAGCAACGCAACTTCTTCGCATATCCAACCGATGTGGCTCTTTTGACGTGCATTGAAGCTCGTCTACTCCATGAGTCGCCAGTTCACGCTGGAAAGGGATTACGCGAGGTGACAGCCCTGATCAAGGAGCCGGCGTGGCTGCCTGGTCTCGATGGTTCTCTGCCCAGCCGGGTGCTGGACTACATGTACCTCGGAAACCTCGGGCACGCCAACAACCCGGATTTGCTCAGGGCTCTCGGAATTGGCCAGATTCTCAGCGTGGGTGAAACTTCAATGTGGAGAGAAGGCGAGTTGGAGGAATGGGGCCCAGAGAATGTATGCGTGGTCCAGGGCGTTCAAGACAACGGCATTGATCCGTTGACTGATGAGTTCGAGCGGTGCCTCGAATTCATTGGTGAGTTTTACCAGTCTCGAAGTGTTGACAAGTTTCTGACTGTGCTCCTAGACCACGGCCGGCGCAGCGGAACAGCCACATTGGTACACTGCAGGGTTGGTGTATCCCGCAGTGCCACCATCTGTATTGCGGAAGTGATGCGGGCCATGAACCTATCGTTTCCCCGGGCGTATTGCTTCGTCCGAGCCCGCCGACTCAATGTCATCATCCAGCCTCACCTACGATTCGCATATGAGCTCCTAAAGTGGGAAGAGCTGAACCAGGTCAAGCAGTGCGGATCTGCTGGGATCAGACGGGAATTAGAGTGGGGAGAGATTGCCAGGGAGATTGCCCTGATGAACAGACCTTACGCTCGATAATGTGTCCTCGTGGATCGTTGGATGTTACACAATTCTCTAGCTCTTCTATCCTTGGTAGGGATTTCTGGGAGTTCTCTGAGGTGTTTGGCCCGGGTTTTTGCTTTCATTTTCATCCTTTTTTCCCTCTTTTCAAAATGGCATGACGGATGCACGGAGACAGGCGTCTATAACTGTCTTGCCATGGCAGGGTTTGTTGGAGAAAGTAGTTTCTTCCGATGGGTCATGGTTCGCGCGGCACTGTTGTTCCAAATGGTCGGCGTTGTTGATTTCACGCTTCCCGCCCCCTTGTTTTTTTTCACCCTTTTTTTTTAAAAATCTTTGGCGACCGCTCGTTGGGGTCTTGTGGTGACGGAGGGCATTTGACTTTCTTGGCCATCTCCAATGTTCTCGGTCTTGTTATTGCACCATCGTTGGGGACGAGTATTTAAAAGGGTTCAGCCACGGTCGATGGCAACAGGTGATGATGCCAAGATTTACTCAGCTATCCTGCTGATCGAGAACCTATACTTCCCGATGAGCAGAGATGCGACTGCTGATAATACATATACTATGAACAAGTTACCGCGCTATCGTGCGTTACCGCACACCAACCATTCCATGTTCGGAGGTTGCTCGTCTTCGGGTATCGTGATTTCACGACAGCATCCCTTCCGGAGTCTTTCATGTGGCCAATCGTGTGCAAGCGCAGAAATCGTTTCTTTTTTTTTTTTTTTTTTTTTTTTTTTGAATTAGCGGCCTCGTGATGGCCAAGCGGCAAGCAGTGTTCGCTTCGTATTAGATCAAGAATGCAAGGTGCTGTAGCCTCCTAGTCACCCCTAGGAAGAAAGCATGTAGCCAAACGCCTCCGAATGCAGCTGTCTTCTTCTGATATCAACAATGCGCAGAGCGCACACGTAGAAACCTGACCCCGATAACTCCCGTCGCCCGCAGCGGAACTACTACGAGGAGAAAAAAAAAAAAGACTACGTGCCGTAGGCCGACGAGTCCAATTTGTCGTCGCCGTCAAGAACCCTACAAATTATGCTTCGTTAGCTCTCGTCCGGGAACAATATGGACGAAGACTTACGAGAACTGCTTGACCAGGTAGCCCTCACCGCCGTGCTCCATATCGATATTGTAAACGTAAAAGCCTCCGTCACTGGTCACAACCATCACTTGCGGGCTACTACTGCTCATGGCTACAACGCTCCTCAGCGGACCGTTGGGAAGCTGTGACCCGCCTGTGAGCCCGCCGCCTCGAGTCGATGCTGTTGGCGAATTTGAAGACTTCGGGATCTTAATGTAGGCAAAGTCGCGAAGGGGCTCCCACATTTCCGTCACTGTCTGAGGCAGGTAAGAGCCAACGACACCGGCCACGCTACGACCCATTATCTGTGACGACCGTCGGAGTATGCTGCTGAATGAGCCACTTTGCCGCCGATTTATCTGCTGCTGGCTGGTACCGCCCCCATTGCTAGGTCCGACCGGCTCAACTAGGTCGCTTCTAGGGGACCCTGCTGCGCTGCCTGCAGGTGATTCATTACTGCTGTCGTAACTCCTGGATCGCGACCATCGATCCTGCCTTGGCGACCCGGGTGTTTCTGCAGCAGCCGAAGCCGAGTTGTTTCCTGGGGGAGGAGCACCGAGGCGAAATATATGAACGGTATCGGATGTCGAAGAAACGCAGAGCAACGTCGAGCTGAGATTGAAAGACATGCTGTAGATTGTGGAGGGGTAAGTTCCCCGGCGGAACTGGTACAGCTTCTGTCCTCCGGGGACAGAGAACACACGGATGATGGTGCCGGTCTCACTAGCAGTGGCAAGCAGTGTGCCCTCGCTGTTCAACGAGATGCTACAGAGAGGTGATCTATGGGCCTCGATAACGTTAACAGCTTTGAGGGTAATTGTATCGAATACTAGGACCTCTCCTGATGTAGGAGCAACGTAGGTCGAGAGGGGTGGGGCATGAGCCGGTCTCTTGTCTCCGTTATCCTCGCGGGGCTTTGGCAGCGGATATGCAATGTAGCAATTTTCCGAGGATGGTGACAGGGCACAGATGGCGCCTGGGTTCGGCGAAGTAGGGATTGTATAGAGTAGGCTCATGTTGGAAATGTCGTAGAGATAGATTTCAGACTCAAGCACGACTGCGAGACGTTTGCGATTCAGGCGGACGGCAAGAACGGCGGAGGGAAAGGTAAGCTCGCATATGACTGAAGACCTCTTTCTCAGAGTTAGTATTTTGGCAGAACAGGAACGAAAGACGACCAACTTTGGTGTTCTGTATGATCAAGTGTCGTGGAGAAAGGATCAGCGCAACCAGTGAGGTCGAGAACAGCATCTCGATGATGGCAATATTCCCGTCATCGCTGCTGAAGATTTTTGAAAAGGGATCGGTGTGGTAGATGCGGAAACCTTTTGATGTGCCTATGTGGGCGACGCAGCCAGTCAGTGAAAGATGTTCATCAACCAAATGGGGTCCGCGGGTGCGGTGGCGGGGAACCCGTTACCGACTGCGAGACAGCTATGGTCCTGGTTGAAAGTAATGAAGTTAAGGGAAGCGTTCGCCATGGTGTACGACCGAAACCGGGGCCTTCGGCAGGATGTATGCGCCGTGATGCGACAGACACCGAAGATGCACTATCGCCGGGACAGCGCCGGCGGTGGGAAACTACCAGACGGAGATGATGTTCAGTCGACGACGGGGGTTCGAGAAGCCGAAGGGTTTTGTATTTCGCCAGTCACAGCGACGATAGAAGTCCAGTATCTCGACTGAAGCCTGAGGAAGGTAGGAGGATTTGCTGTCGAAGGCAGCAGCGCAAATTGGTAGCCGCCAGGAGGCTGGAGTGCTTTGGTGTTGGTCGGTGGACGGTGGTCGGCGGTCGGGTCAAGGTTCGGACAAAGCCAAGCCGTCAAGCCTTTGATGAGCTGGTGATTGTCGGGATAAGCTGAAGTTTCGCTGCAGCGTCTGGCAGCGGAGCACCTTTTAACTTGAGGGACCTTAGAGGAAAAGTGACGATAGATGTGGAGGGTGAGATATCGAGTCTGGACGGTACCGGCAAGGTAAGGTAAGGTAAGGTAAGGTAAGGTAAGGTGAGTTCCAGACACTGAACGTGAACCTGGTGGTGGGTGGCCCCCAATGGCAAGGTGGACTGGAACCCTGGCAGCGGGGAAGCTATGTAATCCGTCGGCCGGGTGGTCCCAGCGCCTGAATGGTAGTACCTAAGTGCTTTGCGCTGAACATGGGGTGCGTTTGTGGCACGTGTGGCTGTGTTTGGCTCGGGCACTTGCGCCAGCTGACCGCAAGGAGTGTTCTAAGGTACCTAGGTAGGTACCTAGGTCTGTTAATTATTAGGTGGGCTCCCCGTGCCCGTGGGTAAATGGCAGATGCCTGTCCTACCTGCTTACGTAGGTACCTAAGGTAGGTAGGCAAGGCAAGGCACCTGAGGTAAGGTGTGGACGATAAGATAAGAAGTCCAGGATGGCACTAGAAGCCACACACAAACCCTCCATACGATGACAGAACATTCGGCAGTCTGGTCGTGGAGCTGGAATAACTTGGAGGCAAGTGCTTTGCTTGGGTCACATCAATACACAAACGAGATTCATGAAGCATTTCCATTATTCATCGGGAACCCAAATGAGGCGTTGTCGTGAACTGCAAGATGGCGCACTGAGCCCAAGAATATTAGTAAATGAGGGCTCTAGACGGGGAAACCCCGTAAACAACGTAGCTGAGCTCTCCCGCGGGTCGTTTTGGGAGAGGAAAAAAAACTGCACACCAGTGTCGGAAAAGCAAAGGCACAGAACTGTGACTCGACAACAATATTTCACCACTTTTTAGAAAGTCCGTCAACTGCCACCTAGCATGGCGCCCTCGGTGCAAAATGCCCGCAGGGGTCAGGCTCTGGACGACCTCATCATGGCAGTGAGTTAATATTGAGTTCTATCCCAGCCTACGGCTCACCTCGGTTCTTCGGTCCCTTGCTGATTAACGTGTCTTTCGTTTGCTACCTGTCAGACAAACAGCAGTTCCATAGTTTCAAAACGGAGTGTTGTAAGTTAGCCAAGCATCTTCTCCCTCCTCTATTCATCAGTCACTCATTTAATCAGGAACGCCTGTATTACCCCGACGAGCCGCATTACTTTCGGTTCTTCGTCAAGAAGTTCCAGCGACGAGCTCCTCTTATCAACAGGGGTTATCATTTACGACTGAAGGTCATTGACACGCTCGTCCGCCGTTTTCTCCAGAGGCCTTCGTATCGCAAGAAGGTAGTCGTCAACCTTGGTTGTGGAAGGTAAGCTGAGGATCCTTCTGGATTTGCGTTGCTAGACTTGTCCAATGCCGAATGTTGGTGGCGCTCACTAAACTCTCATCAGTGATGTCTTGCCGTGGCAGTGCGAGGTGCGCTACCCGGACGCCTGCCGAGATGTCACATTCATCGACGTCGACTATCCAGACCTCATCCAGAAGAAGCGCCGTATTGTTCTCGACACGCCCGAGCTGCATGCTCTTCTTGGAACTTGGGAGGTCAATGACAAGTCCCCCATCGTCCTCCAAAGCCAGAAATACTGCCAAATCGCCTGCGATCTTCGACAACTCTCCGCCCTGGAAAATGCTTTATCCAAGCTGTTTGACCTATCCGCAACTGAATTTTTCTTCGTGGCTGAAGTGTCTATTACATACATGGACACGGAGGGTGCTGATGGTGTCATCAATTGGGCTGGTTCCCTTCAACATGGTACTGCACTACTGAACACTCCCTATCTTCTATGTTGCTAATTACCGATGCAGCCGAGTTTTGCTTGCTGGAGCAGATTCTGCCGGACGGGCCGGATCATCCGTTCGCTCATACGATGCTCAAGCACTTCAACAAGTTGAATACACCAATCAAGTCTGTTTATCGCTACCCAAGCGTCGCTAGCCAAGAGGCCCGCTTTGAGACATTGGGATGGTCCGCGGCGGAGAGTTGGACGCTTTGGGAGGCTTGGGCCAACGACCTGTTCATGACTTCTGAAGAGAGGCGAGCTCTTGATGTCGTTGAGCCCTTTGATGAGTGGGAGGAGTTCGCTCTCTTCGCCAGTCACTATGTTGTCATCCTTGCCTCAACTTTTGGGTCTGACCACGGCAGACATATCTCTCAAAAGCCACGGGATTCCACCATTCCATCCTATCAAACGCACATGAACTTGTCCAAGTATGAAGCTAATCGAGGACACCGCCGATTTGGCGCAGCCATGCTCGTCGAGAACCCCAATGGTCAGGTTGTTGTCTCACACATCCAAGGCCAGGGGCCAAATGGAAGGTTGACCTCAGTGGACTTATACCGAATCTCGGCTGATCGCCCGCCAGCTTCTTCTTCTCAGAAGGGCCCGTCCGGCAGGGTTTGTCACACACTCACAGATCTAGGAAATGCCGGTGTACTCCTCGTTGGTGGACGTGCTTCTCCGTCAACGGCCTTCAAAGATTGCTGGCTTTACAGAAAAGTATTCAATACCTGGGAACGGGTACAAGACCTTCCGGCCCCCCTATTCCGCCATTCAGTGACTCGGTTGGGGACCTCGTCATTGGCATTGCTTGCTGGCGGACGGCCTAATCACACACAGACCTCTGCAGATTATCTACTCTTTAATCCCATCAACGGCTGGACAAGGTGTAAGACACAGGGCTCTCCACCTCCACTTTACGGCGCCACCTTCACGTGTATAAGCAGCATGCTGGGAGAATTTGAGGGAATCATTGCCGGGGGACTACTTGAAGACGGCCTCGTAAACCAGAGAACGTACAGATGGACATTGAAAACTTCAGATCCCGAGGTAAGAGCTCATTCCGATGTCCTTGATTATCAGCTGACCCGCGAATACAGCCTGTTGTCTCATTTGAGATCGTCGATGCACCGATTCAGAGGAACCAGACGAGCTTGTTGTCTAGATTTGGGGCAACAGTCATCAACTCTGGGGAGTACTCCTTCGTGTTTGGTGGCGTAATTAAGGACGTCCAATTGCCTGCGGCATTGGACATGATTATCGTCAAAGAGGTCAATGCCGGACTAGAAATCGTTGCGAGCCTCGTTGGATTCGGCGAGTCTGGCAGCCTTCGTCCTTTCTTGATTGGAGCTTCGGTTGTTCCTCACGCCGACGGAGAGTTCGCCGTCGTTGGCGGCGGTGCCACTTGCTTTTCGATGGGAACCTGCTGGGCACAAGGAAGTTACAACTTCGCATTCGACACTCAACGACTAGTTTCCGGGCAAAAGAAGCTACCACTTCTAGCTTCCCAAATTGCGCCAGTCGAGTACTCTGAGACTGTCGAAATCAGAGCGGACGAGACAAAAGCGAGTACAGAGATTTTGCCGCCGGTTTCTCTCCAATGTCTGCCTCGTATCAAGGTTGAGTCCAAGGATCAGTTCCATACAATCTTAGATGCGGGGAAACCGGTCATCATTGAGTCTGCAAATTTGGGCCCATGCGTATCTGAATGGTCACAGGAATATCTCGTCGAGACTGTCGGCGCAGACCGTGAGGTTCGTCCACCGGGTCCTCCACATCCCCGCCGTTTGATCTCCTGGCATCGCTAATATCCTGCTCCTTAGGTCTCAGTTCACGAATCTGCGGTCGAAAATATGGATTTCAACGCCAAGAACTTTCGTTACGTTACCAAGAATTTCGGCGAATTCATCAAAGAGACTGGAGAAGGGAAGCGGCTTTACTTGAGAGCTCTTTCGAAGGATGAGCCATCAAATCTTCCTACACAATTGGCCACCGACTATCCATCCTTGGCAAAGGACTTCATACTCCCCTCCCAACTCGCCTATGTTCAAGACAACACCTTCAGTTCCGTGTTGCGCATCTCTGGCCCGGTCAACATGTGGTTGCACTATGATGTAAGCTCCCATCTTCTGTGGTTTTTTTGCACGCAAGATCTCTCAAGATAAGGCTGACTCTCTAACAAAGGTTATGGCCAACGTTTACGCACAGGTCAGGGGATCGAAGCGTCTCATATTGTTCCCGCCTTCGGACGTTAAACACCTCTCCTTTTCCCCGGGTGCGTCAAGCTCCAGCGTGGATGTCTTTTCCGCACTGGGTGCGGGCTCACTGCGCGGCGTACAGCCATACGAGGCCGTCGTGGAGCCAGGCGACATTCTCTTCTTGCCGCCCCTCTGGCTCCATACTGCCGCTCCGACTTCGGACATGAGCGTGGCCGTCAATATATTCTTTCGCAATCTGGAGAAGGGATACTCTTCAGGGAGAGACGTCTATGGCAACCGCGACTTGGCCGCCTACGAGAAGGGGCGCCAGGACGTTTCACGCATCGCAAATAACTTCAGCAAGCTGCCATCAGATGCTCGGGAGTTCTACATAAGACGCCTTGCAGATGAGCTACTGCAATCAACAATGAACGTTTAGTGCAACGAATGTTTATTGCAGAACCCATTTTAACCTGTCACGGAGGTCCGCGAACCTTCTGCGTCGTCCAGCGGAAAATTCCGAGCACGTCATTTCCAAGTCCTTCGTTGTTCTCTCGCGCCCTCTCAAGCCCGCCACATCTGAAACCTCCAGGGAGGCAGAGCCATAATGCGAGGATGAAGACGAGTATAGCCATAATGATGGGCTGGAGTACTTGAACTCCCTTGCTTTGGGCAATGGCCCCGATGGCAAACGGGAATATTGCTGCACCGCCGCCGCCGAAAGCGGCCGCGAACCCGATCGCGCTCACGTGGTAGTCGTTGGGCAAGAGTTTGGTGGCGGCGACAATGACGGCGGGGAACAGCGGCCCGAGAAAGAAGCCTAAGAAGGTGACAAAAATAATGGAAGCTACGAAGCTAGGCACCAACCAGTAGAGCAACTCCAGGGCCACGGAGAGCACAAGGTAGATGGCAATAGCACGTTTCTCTCCGATTCTTCCTGTGATAAAACCTAGTATCACTCGACCGATCGTGAGTCCAAGCCTATATGAAACCCGGTCAGTGGGATTTCAATAGCAGCAACAGAAAATGGGGCAACGTCTTACCAGAACAGAACCACAGTAACGCCAGCCAAGAAGGGTTCCGCCTGTCTTACACGAAGCATAAACGTGACGATCCAACCTCCTAGGCTTACCTCAGCTCCAACGTAACCAAGCAGGAAAAGAGCAAGAAGCCAAGTGATTGGTTTCTTCAGAACTGTGCGGGTTGTTGTTCTCCCGCCGTTCGTGGATGGCTGATGAGTTTGTCGATGAACATCGCCGGTTGCCCCCCAAAACGCCGTCAGTGCCACGGCAAACTCAACGACCGTGACTCCTATCATCACGTAGTAAAAGGCATACCACGGCAATTTCTGCCCCTTGGTTACCATAGCAGAGGCAATGAGCGGGCCGATAGTCCCCCCAACCCCGTAAGCGCCATGAAGAATGCCCAAGAGTTCGTTCGCATTTCGCATATTACCAACCCAGGCGTTCCAAGCGCTATCCTCAAGCCCGTTCCCTAGACCGGTGAATAAGAGAACAACGGGGAGTACAGGGTACGGCGGGTGTAAGGCCAAAGGTATATAGCCAACGATGCGACTCAAGGGGCCTAGCACGGCGACACCACGTTGGCCAAAGTGGTTGTGGATCAGGTTGTTAGAAAGCGCGGCAATGACATATCCAACGAATGGCGAGAGAAACAGCAAGGCCACAACGGTGTACGTGACGTTGTAGTAGGTTTCTATCTGGGTAACCCGATCAGTGAGGCTGCATACAAGAGGTCTTGCGGCATGCCCCCGTACTTACATATGGGATTAAGGCCTGTGGTGAATGGCGTTGAGCTTGGTGATAATGCACCGGACGAGATTTTTGGCAGAGACATACCCCTATTGCCGCATCATTCATCCCCATGATCGTGAAGCTCAGCAGCGTCACGCTGAAGCGGAAAGCATTGGTACGAGTTCCGTTCCACCTTTCTAGAGGGCTCTCAGGGGTTGTTGAAGCTAAAACCTTCTCATGCCCTTCGATGACAACGTCAAGCGGCCGAGCTATCTTTTCGTCCATAACAGGCGACTCGCGCGAGCTATAATGTAGTAGATTAGAGATGATGATGAGAGCAAAGTAGACGAGAGAAGGTGTAGTGTGAACTGCAGCAAGCACAGTATTTATTCATTTGACAGCAGTATGGCCGGGGCATGGCCCACAATGGCGGCTACGGTCCCAGAGCTCTCATCCCGAAGCCGGCATGCCACAGAGAGATGAACCAACGGGCTGCGGGGCCGATACCAGAGCGAAGACATCCAATAACATCGCGGACTTGGGGAAGAGGTGGCGGGAGGATCCAGTATCATTCTACCGAGAAGCGATGTGCAGCCGATATTTAGCCATCTCCGCGCCGGCTGGTGCTCACCGGATGAGTTGATAAGGGGCGGCGGTGAGAATGAGAGTAAGTCATGACCGGATTCGGCGTTGTTGTCCCACTGTGGGGCCGGGTGGGCGCGTCGGAGCCGGTGATGACCCGAAAGTGCTGAGTTCCGGTCGGACTAATGTAAGCCGTCCGCAGATGTTAATTCGACGAGGTCCGTAATACAGCACAGAAATTTGCATACGAGTATGTCCAGTTTTCTTGGGTCTACGCGGCTATGTTTTCTTTAGACTTCCAATAACTAAAGCAATACTATGACCATGATGGTTAGAGACAACGGTAGGTACAGGCGACCATAACAACGATGTCGACGACGATATTCAGCTACAGCGACGACGAAGAAAACTGCAGTAAGATATGAGTACGCCTACCAAAAAAAGTCGGCAGTCTCTGGTGTAACCATACCGCAGGATGTCGTGCCGCAGCTTGTGTGATTACCTATTTAGTACACCCTTGCATGGCATCAATAGCGCAGTTGGTGGCCAATGGCGGAGCGTCTTACAGGGTCATGCGGCCTTGTATGTAGGTGGGCTAGGCAGGATTAAGGTGCTTCTAGCGTCCGGCATTTCCACTCTCCGGCGTGCCCTCTTGCTGCTGCGTCCAACCTTGCTCCGCCGCCCAACCTCAGCTTCCAGCCCTCTACACGTATCTTTGAACGATTTCATGCCCTTTCAATAAATGAACTGGGGTGAGAAGCAACTAAAAAGAAGAAAGAAAAATATCAGAAACAATGCACGGCGGATGAATCAATGCGGCTCAACTCAGGACGTGATGGTATTCCAGCCACCAGCATGTCGCAATATGCCGTTATTGACACCGATTTTGATACTGATGCTGATATGGATATGCGGCACGAGGCACGAGGCACGGCCACTCTGATCCCTTGGCCACCTTCCCCTCTTCATCCCGCCTGACGACTCCGTGCTCGCTGCGAAGGTGGCCGAGTGTCATGCACTTGCTTCAGCCATTCTCATCGTGTGACATCATAATTCCTCACAGCTTTGGTTGGAGGAGCCCTGACCCATACCAACAGACTGGCATCTCCTGGGTACAGCAGGGAACGGCTACCTCGCCCGTTTCTTTCGCCGGAAAAGCCACAGCCCTACAATCCTAACAATCCAGCCGCTGTACATCAGTTTCTTTTCTACTTGTTTGTACCACATATCTGGAAGCAGATAGGCTAAAGTGTGCGATACTGCGACAAAGACGCGCAAGGCTCTAGACGGGGTATTTCATCGGCTGCCCAGATACCATTCCTTTTTGGGTGACCTCACCTGGCATTTGTGGCCTTAACCCCTTCCCTCCTAAAACCACTAAGACTCTTTGACCTGTCTACAGATCATCTGCTGTCTTACTTGCCCGAGCTGATGCTGGCTGTGAGCTAGTGTACGAGAAAAACAGACAGGAGGGGGAAGAGAGAGTGTGTGTGAGTGTGAGAGAGAATGGTGGACGCTAGTGCTTTGGCTACCTAGCCTGCTTACTCGTTCAAATCTGACCTTGGTGTAGAGAAAGCCAACCGAGCCTCAAAGATAGCCTCACTTATTTTTTCGCCTCCGAGACTCGCTCTCAGGCTTTGCAAGTTCAACCCGGGACTGAGTTGCTAAAGAAGGCAGAGACCTCCTTTCTCACAAAGATCACGTCTCGGCTGCCCTTCCACCACTCATCCAGACAACCCCTTTCTTCTTCTTCCAAAAACCCAAGTTGGTCGATTCAGTCTGACGCAGATCAATTACCGTCTGACCCTGCAGAAAATCCGACGCCAAGCAGTCAAACACTTCCGTACGACACACCGACATCTCCCCTCTGCTCGATCTCAGCCTACTTATGTCTAGGCAGTACGGAGAAGCCCGCGAGGACTTTGTCCGCAGTCCAAGCCATCGCCGCGGAGAGCCACCTCCGGTATCCAGAGATCATTCGCCCGAATACTACTCCGGAGGGGGCGGGGATCCTTTGGTTCACTCCAAAGGTCCAGCGCCTGACACCGGTCCTTATGTATCTGGTGCCATCCCCCCCGAAGTAGCCAACGGTGCCGCGCGTTCATATTACGAACTGGACTCACCACTCCCACCTCGCGATACCAATGCTCTGCAACTACCGCAGCCACCGCAATACCGCCCACGTTCCGTCCCCCCAGCAGCTTTCGCCGTGTCAAGAGGTCGTCCGCGCTCGCGATCACGCTCCCGCTCCCACTCTCGCTCCCGTTCTCGCCACCGTCCCCGAACTCCGCTAGGCAAGGCGCGCCATGCTGTCGACCATACGTTCTCGAACTCTTCCTCGGGGATCGGCGTCGGTCTTCTCGGTGCCGTCGTTGGTGGTCTCGCTGCGCGGGAGGCTTCGGATGCGGCTTTGCGCAATCGCACCCGCAAAGAGATAGAGAAGGGAACATATCATCCGCGATCACCACACGACGCCGAGAAGGCGCGGGTGATATCTACGGTTGTCGGTGCTCTTGTCGGCGGGCTTGGAGCTAACGCACTTGAGAGGCGATTCGAATCTGCTCGTGAACGGGATCGTGTACAGCAAGCAGCCTGGGAAAGGAGATGGGGAAGGGACCGAGATCTTCCGCATTACGACACGGGCAGAGAACATGAACGCGATCATGGTAGGGGACATCCACGTGCCCGACGCCACGATGACTGGGATGATGACTACTATCGCGATTATGACGGCCGCGTCCGGCGCGGTTGAGATCTTAGGATCTTTAACCCCCAGAGGAATTGATTTGTCTTGGTTAACTAATCTCTTGGGACGTTACTTGTCACGACGTAATGCATAATGACAATACTTTCTTTTGCTCTGGAAATGAGAAGTTCGCTGGGTTCTCATTTTGTGACAAATTACTGAAAATCACATATCCTCACCAGCCCCCTTTCCGTGTTTCTTCCTTCTTACCGGGTGTAAGTTTTTGAGAAATCTTTGTGCCGCGCCGTCGTGCGTTCAATTACGCAGAACTATCCGTACATCGTTTCTTCATTTGTCATAGCCTCAGCGGCTTGTAGTAACGTGTTGCCGCCGCGATAATGTGAGGGGAACCATATGATGAAACCTCTTGGCACATCTCCAGCCATGTCACTTTCCACCTGCTGAGGAAACCGCAGCCCATCACCGCCTGAACTTCTCTTCTCGTCCCGCTTCAATGTACTCGTGCAGTTCTTGCCATAAGGACAAGGCTCGAGTGCGCTCCGCCAAACACGTTTATTTATCGTACCGCAGTGCCTCGGAGTTGACATCGTAGCCATCAGGAATCAAATGAAGCCTACCGTATGGATCCATCCCCTCGGCCAGATCTTTCGAAGGCTCCCACTGTCTGTCTCCCTGCCCGTGGGGCAATGTCTTGGGTGTATTGTCGCGGGCTAGCTTCTCTCGATAAGCTTGCTCCCTCTCCACGATGACTTTGAAGAATTGGGCTATCTCCGCAATCGCAATTTGCTGGGCTTCGGAGCATCCGATTGTATTGCATAGAGACTGCGAGTCAACCAACTGCTTCGCGATTACGGAATCTGGCTGGCAGAAAGTGCGAATACGGAGGGCTCGGGCGTTAACCTTCATCGCATGAAGAAGGCCTGCGATCTCCAAGTGATTGCCTTGGCGACGTCCAAAGAAGCGGAACTCATCAATATGCAGATGAACAAGGTCGAGCTGTGTCTCGAGGTCGTAGCGAAAGCCGACGACTCTGGGACGGCCCTTCTGATTCCACCCATCTGCGATCTTCTTCAGCTTGTCCGGGTTCAGGCGGCCGTGGTTGAGCTCGTTCGTGATGTAGGTATGAAGGGCATTGCTGATGTGAAACTCGAGCTCGCAGTACAGAAGACTCTGCTCGCGAGGATCTAATGAAATTGTGATTCTCTTGACCTTCCCCTCTCTCTCTACATCTCGGACTTTGCGACTGGGCTTGCTCTCAGTCTATTCACATCTTAGCCAACATGCATACACTTGTAGAAGGAATCGCACTCACCATCTCTTTGGCAATCTTCTTGAGGCTGTCGAGCAGACCTGGCTTCTTGGGAGAGGTGTCCTTCTTCTTGCGGTCCGGAGATTTTTGGTCTGAAGATTCGTTCGGTCTCTCGAGCCATCCTTGCTCTCCAATCAGGGTCTTACCGGCAATTTTGTGCACAGCCAGGTCTTTGTAAGCAAAATAGGGTCTCAGAGGAGAATATAGCTGGCCAGCATCATCCATTGCAGGCTGTCTGAGGGCCTCAAGTCTACCCTTGGGGGGCGCCTGTCTCTGAGAAGCTACTCCACGACTATCGACATCAGGCGCACCAGTAGGGACGGTGGTGGTGTGCGGGTTCGAATTCTTCCAGCCGCTGTATGACTGCAAGACGCTATCGACTTGTTGAGAGGTATTCTTATGGATCCGCAGAGGACTAGGTTGTTCTGCGTCCCTCGAGTAGATTGATGAAGATTCTTCCTCGTCAGGAGTTGCTGGAGACGGGTTGTCTGGGGTTGGGGAAGATGCAGCAACCATGTCGTCACCATGGCCGACAAGAGTAGCGTACTGACGGCGATCCTCAATGTTGATCGGAGTAAGTGTATTCTGTCTACGACGCTCTGCAATGTTTGACGACATAGAACTCTTGGCCTTGTGAGTCTTGCGAGGTGATCGGGGCATCAGCTCCGAGAAAGTCGTGGAATCACTGTCATGACCCTTCTGTGCCATTTGATCAGTCGCCTGGCCGCTCTTAGCATACGCATGTGGCTCCTCCTGATCGAGTGCCGCATGTGCTCGAGACGTGGCATGGGTGCTGGCGAAATTGTTGTTACGTTCGGGTGACCCGGTTCTGGCTGTGTTACCAGCCCTGACGCGACGAGAGGGCGACTCGTTCTTGCTCGCAAATCTAGCGATTTGTCAGTAGGGAGAAGGATATCGCATTGCGACACCTACACGTCTGTTAATCTCTCGACCTGGTTCTCCGTCAAATTCAGATTGATCTGGACAGATTTGTTTGGTTTATGTCGCATAGGCGACGGAGATCCACGCTTCCTCGGTGATACCGGAATGAAGGTGCCCTGGATAGCAGAGGGAATCATCGTGCGGCCCTTCTTCTCCAGTTTGTCCGAATTGTGTGTCATGATGGGAAGATTAGTGGATGATGTGGTTGATGTTGTCGACCTCGCGTCTTTTTTGTGTAATGTGTTGGTTAGAAAAGCCTCAGACCAAGGTCGAGACTCTTTCTGTTTGGTGAGATTTTCGATCCGCGATCGAAAGGAGTCTTCGCGAAATTGGGGACCGCCCTGTTTGTCAAGCTGCGCAGGCGTTAAAGGCGCCTGTGGGGTGAAAGACCCAGGAAATGGCCCTACAAGTTCGGGATCCTCGAATCGACTGGTTCGAAGGTCTGCAATCCAAGCTTCTATCCGTTCTTGGAAAGATGATGGTTCTGACCAGATAGCTTTAGCAGGGGTCTGAAGCTAGAAAGGGCGTTGTGGACGGGATTTTGCAGACGTGATTTTCTTTCACATCAGATTTTTCGGGGCTGGTGAATATGTCGTTTTGTTTACGTACCTCGCTGTGGAAATACCGTCTCTAGTTCGACGTATTTGCTCACAGTGTTTTCTGCGGACCCCAGCGTTTCTTTCAGGGGACCAAGGCCTTGGGTGAATGAGCACGAATCCGTCCAGGAGTTGAGGAAAGAGCAAGTCGCTGCCCGTCATAATAAGCTTCAGCCTCTACGTACCTTCCAAAACTAGCTCGTCTTCCTGGCCGGCGGCACCGTTGTCCCAACATGACTGTTCGTCACTGTAGTTTGAGCCAGTTTCTATCTCAGGCGATTTCTCATCTAAGCATATTTAGCTACAGTAGGCAGGCATGTACCTCTTCTATGACCTACGGCGAAATTTGCCTGTCTGTAAATTTGCACCACCAATGCCTTCTTGAGGTGAACCCTCAGCCTCCTTTAAGCTGTCCTCGGACGGAGAGTAGAACTGAATGCCATGTGCTGCAGGGGGACTGTCGCTCACAGAAGCTTGCGGTCTTGGCATGCTGTGTGCTCTTTGAGAACCGGCAGGAACGCGTCCTGATAGTGAACAATCGCTTGGCACGTACGTATAAAATTCGGAGAATGATGGTTGACGGTGTGCTATATCTCAGGTATCAGCACTTACTCATGCCCAAGTAAAGATCAGCCGGGAGCGACAAGAAGCACAACTCACCGGACTTAGCAGCTGTCTGATTCGACCACAGGCTCCGAAGGGAAGAAGTTCGAGCGTGAGATATCTTCTCCGATTGGTCACTTGAAGCCATCCTGCTCGACCGGGACGGTCGCCCAACGTCACGGAGGACGGGCTGCTGCTTTGTGAACGTCAGCTCTCGAGCTTTTCCAAGCATCACTCCGGTGGGAAGACGTGAGACTCTCACATCATCGAGAGCACTATGAGATTGAAAGAGGCTCGAGTCGGCGGGTTTTGTCAAACGTGTTGGGCAGCGAAGTTGGTTGAGCGATGGAGCATGCCGTAGTTTGTGGGTCTGGACTTCGACGATGCCGACAGGGTGTATCCTTGGATTCTCTGGCACCAGCCATCGACAACCAGGAACACGACGCTTTTCCTCGCCGTTGGCGTAGCCGACCGAGTCCTGCCACTTCTTGGGTCCTTGTCTAGGAGACAAGATAGCATGGAAGGCCGAACGAAAATTTGTTGGCGCTTGGGATTCGTCGACATTAGTGGCAGCCCCGCATTGCCTACGCACCATCCTCCGATGACCCGCGCGATTCGGCTCTGATGTCTTCAAGCTACTCCCATTGTCCATGCCATCGTCCATGGCACCGTCTAGTCCAAACCAATTGTTGCTTGACGGAAAACTGTGCTTCCCTTCGCGTCTGGCCGGATCGCTATGCGCGATTCTGGGAAGCCTATCAACCACGGCGCTAACAACTGGAGGACTTGTATTTGGTGAGCCGAACCCAGATATGGGAGTATCTAGCCCGAACCAATCATGGCCTCGTTGAGAACCTGGTGTTCTGACCGTTAGAGGAGTTTTCATGGCGACATAATGATGAGGGCTCGGAGCTTGGCAGGAAATCGACCGGCCGGTTGTGCGGGTTTTGGCAGGCGTGGAATCCATGAAGATCCAACGATAATCAAGCCCACCATCAAAGCCAAGTTGAGGCGTAAACGGACCCCTAAACTCCTAGGATGGATCCATGAAATCCTCCGCCGCAGCTTCCACGAGCACTTTCCTGGCCTTTATGTCTGCCGTTGGCATGAGCTCACGGGATAAAGACGACGGCAAAGGTAACCCGTCAGCTACCAAGGAAAACTTCCGGGCGAAGATGGCGTGCGGTGTCATGCAGCCATCGGGAAGCGGCACCTGCTTTGGCTCGACAAAGTCGCGAAGTGTTAGGACGGTATCAAGGCCAAATATGTTGGTAAGCCAGCTACGGCGTTTGTTGTCTAGCTGCGCTTCGGTACCACTAGGTATGTGGGCAATGTGGTTCTTCCTGAAAGCTCGCAATAGAAGGCCTGCTTTGCTGTTCTTCGAGGCTTTGGCTTGACTTGTATCAGCTTCGACTATGTCGTTGCTGTTCCTGTGATCTGAAATTGGAAATGAAGCGGTTGTTGGTGTGACCTCCTCCTCTTTGATGAATCGACCAGCTTGGATGGTTCCCATATCCCATTGCATTTCGTGCAACTCTTTGGGCTTTGGACTGCGAAAGGCACATGTACCACCCTCGCGAGTTGAAACGTACATGGTATGATCAATCATCCAGGCCTTACGACTGCGTATGCAGCTTGGTTCAATTGAGCTGGCGCGAGCCGAGAAATAGTGGTCTGAAAGTCTGATGGGATAGCGGCTTGAATGTTTCTGGCGCCATTCCACAAGAGAAAGCGTCGGACGTATGGACGTAGTGATTGTGGACATGTGTGGTATGTGAGGTAACTCGAGATTGGACTGCATGAGAATTGTCAGCATGAGAGCCACTTGTCCCTAAGCTGTTGACTCACATGTCGGTTAAGATGGTCGTATTTCCAACGCTGGAATTCGGCTCCTGGATCATCGGAATGCTGGCAATCGATTTCTATCAATTCGTACAACACTCCCCCTGCAAGATCCAGATTTTCGTCTCCGAGGTGCTCGCGCAGAACTAGGAAAACCTGCAGATCATGAGTCTGTCAACAATTCGTAACGGCGTTGACTTCGGATTCTGGTGAATTACAAGTTGAATACCGTCGCGATACTGATAGTTGCGAGGGATATGTGCACAATATCTGACGAGGACGTTGCGGCATTCTGGGACGATATGAGTATACGGCAACGTACAAGAGCGAGGTCCTGGAGAGATCAGTGGCCCAATGCTTACTTTCCTCGTCGTATCCATTTCGAGACAGGGTATCTTGAGTAAAGGCACTTGTCATGGCCTCCAACCTGTGCCGCCAGTCATCCTCGTCGGGCTCGGACTGCGGCATTGTCGGAGTCGAATCGACCCATGTCTGGAGACTGAGACGATTTCGCATCTTTCGAGGCCGGCGAGATCTCCGAGAGTGGCCTAGAAAGCTCGGAGAATCTGCAATAAGAAGAATGCCCAGGACGAGACAAGAGGCCTAGGTAAACTGCCCGGGTGAAGAAACTCAAGACTCAATTCCAGCCTTAGTAGCGCAGACAACTGCGGGTGCTGTGTTCAGGAGAAGCCCGCACATGTGGTATAAGGAGTGACTTTGGGCAACAGCGCAGAGCGACTCCGATGTCCACAACATGGTCCGGACTACCTGCCTTAGAATAAGTACGTGAACCAGGAAGGGCCATGGCACTTTATGGTAACCTCCTTTGGGCAAGAGCGCCTCACCGTACCTAGGTAAGGTAGGCAGTCCACTAAACCAGGAAGGTCCACGTGTGTGGGAAAAAGAGCCTTTCCAGACGGGTCTTTCTGACTTGGTGAATCTCGTCTACATAACATTAAGGAGGACTTCTTTATAAAGGATTATGATAAAACAGACGCTCCGAGTACTGTGTCGATGGTGACACTGGAATTCTTCGGTTGGTCCGGTCACTTGGCAGAAACTCTTGGTCCGAGATGAGGTTCACCCGGCCAGGTCCAGCCCGGGTGACCGAACCGACCTAGCCTTCAAAGGTTCAAAGCCGGCGCCCCCGAGTAGTCGGATGTCCGATCATGACGACCGGCCGGTTGTCTTAGTTCACTTGACATTTTCGGCGCGCCATCTCAACGGTGGTACATCCGTAGCTCAAGAGATGGCGTACGTACGTGCCTTTCGGCTGGCCATTGTGCCAGGTAGATCCCGTCTCTGGATGAGAGGCTAGCGCGCCCTGGCACCGGCCCAGTGCAAAATCTTCTGCGACGTTGGCGGGGCAAAGGCAAAGATAGCACAGACGTTGTCAGGAGCCCAGAAAAGTGCGCAATCGGAGGGCTGTTGACCTGAATACGGACTTGGAAGGCTGTTGGTCTGTGGATAGATAACGGGGACGTATTGGTGGGTGCTCGTGGGTGGCGGCATCGTGAGATGAGTAAGGCGGAGTAAACTGAAGTTGAAGCACCCAGACCATATCTCCACACCTATGGATGTAAGGGAAGCGACACCGGAAGACAGAGAGAGACATACGTGCTGGTCTACCCTCCCTCCCTCCCCTCTTTCCTACTTTACGCACTACCTTATTTATGAGTGTTTTGGTCGGCATCGTTGAGCGGGAAGCAAAGAGGGAAGACTCATTGGGCACTCATGTCCGGACATGGTACGGGAATGTTTTGTTCCACCTCGTGCCTGTGGACCCTTACGGCCAGTGCAAATGACAGCGGACGGATTACAGATTCGGATTCGCTACTACCTTTACGCAGTACGTCCATTTCTCCACGTGCCTTCCATCCTCGGTGCCAGCGTGGCGGCCAGGCAGGGTAGGCTCGGTTCGGCGCATTCACAGCCGCAGCGTTTCCAGGCACTTTGGGGTGCAGCCCCCTTCCCCGCACTTGCCTGCTTCTCCAACTTCACGTTCCGGGAACCCCAAATGACTTGGCCCACATATGACTGCTGGGGCCTATCAAGCTGCTCCCATCGGCCTTCGCGGACGGCATCTCTCAGGGCAGTCCAGTGTTAAAGAACGGAGGTGGACAAAAATACCTCCCGTGGACCTTCCCAAAGCACCTCACACGGCCCCACCACCGACTTGCCGACTCGACTTCCCGAGTCCCTTTTGTCTGGGCTGCGCTGCCCCAGGCAGGGATAAGCACCCAGCCAAAGTATCGAGACTCAATCTCATCCCCCAAATGCGCCACCCACACGCCCCTCCCTCTCCCCCATGACGTGCCCTTTCCTGACTCTAGAGTCTCCATACCTACACGGATCGAATGAACGGCATGCCCTTTACCAGTGCGAGCACTGCCCAACGAGATACTTCTGTTGCCTCAATGTGGGGATTTGGAGTTCCCGGCCTGTCTTGCCGTCCCCGTTCTGCTTACCGACTCTCTGTGCCGGCGAGCTTTTAGCATCTCGGTCCCCTTCGGATGAGTCTCGCTGGATCCAGATCTCCCCGCGGGTCGTCAGTTACCCTAGTCGTCTATTGATGTGTAAAATCTGCGCCAATCGGCCGGCTGCCATATATAACCTACATTCTTGCCTCCGCGACTTTCTGTGCGTGTATTCTCGCGTGAATGCGTTCGTCCCTAAGTTCCTCTTCCCTTTTCTTTTCATCACTTCTCCAAGTGCGTGCCACAGGCATCTGAGTACACAGTGAACTCTTGATAAGACCCCTAAACAACACCATCCTGCCTCTCAACTAATTCACATCATGGAAACCCAACCAGATCGCCAGTCGAGCTCGACGCTCTACGATATCGGTAAGACCGACACTGTTTCCATCTCTCTAAGCGTATCTTCTAACAGAGAAAGTCATCGTTGGGGCTGGGCCCGTAGGACTCATGCTGTCGACTTGCTTGGCCAGATGGGGTTACAAGATCAAGCACATTGACAATCGAGCTGAGCCGACACCGACCGGAAGAGCTGACGGCATTCAGCCTCGTTCCTTGGATTTGCTCCGGAACATGGGTCTCAAATCAGCCATCATGGCCCACAAGCCAGCCAGAGTATACGAAGTTGCGTTCTGGGATCCCCCAAAGAATGGCACTGGAATCGCAAGAACGGGCACCTGGGCCAGTTGTCCAAGCTTTATCGACGCCAGGTATCCCTTCACAACTCTTTTGCACCAGGGCCACATCGAGCGAGTCTTCATCTCTGACCTCAACAAGAACGGCACTCAAATCCAGCGACCATGGACAATTACGGGGTTCACCTCCAATGAGGCAGAGAACCCAGAGTATCCTGTCGAAGTCCAGTTGGAGCACGTCGATGGTACTGCTCATGAAACTGTGCGCGCCAAGTATCTGTTTGGAGGTGAAGGCGCGCGTTCATTCATCAGAAACCAGTTGCAGATTGGCATAAAGCACAAGGACCCCATCTCCCACGTATGGGGCGTCATGGACGGCGTGGTCAAGACCGATTTCCCTGATATCAAGGCACGCTTCCAGGCATCATCATGCTCGATAGAACGCTGGCTAACCGAAGTTAGATGAAATGCACCATCCACAGCAAGCATGGTTCTATCATGGTCATCCCTCGAGAAGACAACATGGTGCGCCTCTATATCCAGATTGCCTCCTCGACGGATCCCGATTTCGATCCCAGAAAGACAGCTACAGAAGAAGAAGTTCAGGAATCTGCGAAGCGAATCCTCCAGCCGTACAGCATCGAATGGGAGAGGACTGAGTGGTATTCAGTCTACCCCATCGGCCAAGGCATCTCGGACCGTTACACCTTGGATCATCGAGTTTTCCTGGGGGGCGATGCTTGCCACACCCACAGCGTACGTCGGACTGTATCTGGGTTGCGTGACTGAAGTTACTGACAATACTGCAGCCCAAGGCTGGCCAGGGCATGAACACAGCCTTTCTGGACGCCCAGAACCTGGCCTGGAAGATTCATGCAGTAGAGGCTGGTTTCGCCCATCGGGATATTCTTAAGACTTACGAGACCGAGCGCAGAGATGTCGCCGAGACGCTGCTCAACTTTGACAACAAGTATGCAGCACTGTTCTCAAAACGACCGCCAGCTGCCAGCGAAGTCGAGGCTGCTTCGGACAAGGCTATTACCGACGGTTCAGACAACGAATTCATCCAGACCTTCAAGGAGTCTTGCGAATTTACCAGTGGCTATGGTGTAGCATACAAGCCCAACTCTCTGAACTGGTCCGAATCACACCCGGCGAAATCACCTCTGATTCACCGCGAAGGTACTAAGCTTCGCACGGGACGGCTCTTCATGAATGCCGACGTGACAAGAGTTGTCGATGCCAATGTTGTTCACCTGGAGCAAGAGGTCCCTTTGAACGGTTCATTCCGTATCTTCATATTTGCTGGCAAGCCTTCGGTCACGAAGGCTGCCCTGAAAGACTTCGCCAGCCACATGAACAACAAGCGGTCGTTTTATGCCGCATACCTCAGAGACGACGTTGACAGCGTCTCTCATCACGAGAAGCACAACCCACACAGTCTCTTCTTCACCATTTGTACCATATTTGCAGCCAGCCGAAGCAGCATCGAGATTTCGCGCGATGTCCCGGACGTAATCGGACGTTACCGTGAGCACGTCTACGCAGACGACAGATGGGACCGCCGTCACTTGGACTCCAAGGCGGCGGCCCACGCCAAGATGGGGTTGGACGAGGAAAGGGGTGGTGTTGTTGTTGTGCGCCCAGACGGATACGTAGGCATGGTTGCAAAGTTGGTGGAGGGTAGCGGCACGGTCGACGCACTAAACGAGTACTTCAGCACCTTCTGCACGAAGAAGCTAGGAGAGACTCTTGCCCAGCTTTGATTCATGTAGAGGCCGGCGGCGTTTGTATGGGGAGGAATTCTTGATTGTTGTAAATAACTCGGAGCAGCGACATGCTGCCCCCGATGAGGGGCGAGAACCCGTGAGCTGCGCAGTCGGGACACTTGGACGAATATGTGGCCTGCGATCAGTATCAATTAGAATTTTGTATCTCTGCTAGACCCTTCGACTCTTTTCCAACTCGTGCATGTTCTTAGCCGCGCGCACTGCAGATGCTTTGGTCTCTATCTTCATTGTTGTCGGGATGCAATCTAGTCACTGCAGCCAGCAGCACCTATCCATACCTGGTACGTAAGGTGTGAGGTGATCGAATATACCTTACCGAAGCAAAAACGTAGGTACCTAGGTACGCTGTAAGGTACCTTATCGCGTGGGCCGACCCCACGCATCTGCATGCACCGGTTGAAGGTTGAAGGACGGAAACACTGAAGCTGCGTCGGAGCTTTCAGTGAGCAGCACCCCGGTAATCCATCCCCGGGCCATGCGCAGCCTACCTACCACTTCCATTAGGTACCTAGGTACGCTATACTTTCGGTAAGGTATGGGAGGTACCTAAGTCAGTGGAGGTCTTATGACTCTCGGTGTAGGTGAGGTGCCTGCCTAGGTACCTTTCCACAGGCAGGAAGGCACCTAAGGTAGGTGGTCATCTAGGTAGGCAAGGTACCTAGGCAGTACCTACTTTACCTTTCTCTACCTACCTAGGCCTGGTGGTTTCCTGAGCTACCAAAAAATGTAAGTTGCACCCAGTGGTGCTCTCTTTCCTCAAATCACCAACTTCATCACCAGCCTGCCCCCCCGATGGGGATTTCGCAACTGCTGTTCCCTCCCCAACCGCGACCGCACCCTCTTCCGACGAACTTTCAGAAGATATCAATCTTCTTTCAATTCCTCATCCGGTGCGCTTGCCCTCCATTTCGCGATCCACCACCGCCATCTCCAATAATTCCGACGCAGACAACAATAACAACACAAGCCTCAACTCGCCGCCGCCCCTACTCTCCGGTCTTACCAGACGCCGCGCCAAATTTATTGTAAAGCTCTCCGGCGTTTCTTTCGCCCCTCATACCTTTCACGTTTTCAGTTCCTCGCATCTTTGACCCTTCCCATGACACCATGTCTCCTGCTCAGCCATTCTGTCATGCTCCCTGCAAGCTAACAGCCATGAAGCAAGACAACTCTCAGCATCGTCGTCGCCGCCCTCGTCCTCACGGTTTCTTGCGAAAACCAACCGATTTCCTCGAGCGCTGTGCTTCCCGGGCGCAGATCCAACCTTCCGCATTCGAATACCTCTGGCACCCATACCCGGTTCCCGGTTCTGCTCTTCTCTACAACCCTGGTCTTGACTCCCGCGACCCCCTCGCTGGCTGCGTAATTCCTAGCCAGCTGAAAAGCTACGTTGGCGGCCGCTATAGAACAGAACGAACGGGTCAACCCAGCTTGCGCAGAGGTGCAACATTAGCGAATCTCACGGTCCGAAAGACTGGCTGCGATTCCGAGCGCACACCAGACGAACCAAAAAGCGCTGAGTCAAAATCCGTTGAGGGCCACGAACAGCCGAGACGTGGTCGGAATAGGTTGATTATTTTACCCTTTTTCCGCTCTGCGGCAACACCGACGAGCACGTCGCGCAAGCGCCGGGCTCAAGACTCCGAGTGGGATTTGATCGCAGGCGTTGCCGACCAGGCCCAATTTGAGGAGGACTCAGCCAATCGACAAAGTCCCCTGGACCCAAACAAGCAGAGCGTTGGTCACTCCTCCACCTTCAGCCCGTGGACAGTGGTTAACAAAGCGCAGAGAGCCACTGGCCATACGGCTTGGCTGCTTGATACCATGACATCAGTTCGCGGTGCAGTCACCAAAGTTTCCAACAGCATTGCTGGCTACGGTACGCTGCCGATCAAGACTATTGCTCGTACTGGAGTCTGACCGTACTTAGTTTATCCCCGCAACTATAATGCAGTCGAGCTTCACTCCCGCGACGAACAGAGTGGCAGCATCACCACCAAACGGATAAAACTGGAATCTCATACGGACTCAGCTAGCACCGAAAGCTCACGAGAGGAGCAGCGAGGGGCCGAACCGCAATCTCCAAAGACAAACCTTGTTTGGATTGACGAACCGACAAGAACGGCGAATTGGCATCAAGTTGCTCTGCTCGTACGAGCGTTAAGAGATATCGACCGCCGTATCCAGAAAGGCCGTGCGAGAGAGAGGACTAGCTCACCTAGCTCTCGACCGGATGACGAACCCCGCTCCCGACGACTTTACGCTCTAAGCGCTAATCTGAGGACTCTTCGGCAGACTGCGGCGATTCTTGAGCACATTTATTCCCATACGTTCCTGGTCAGGTTGAAGGAGATGTCAAGGCTTCCGCAACCAACAATGGACTACGCAACAAACCCGGATGAGTACCTCGCCATCTCAGCAGCAAAGCTATTTCTCGACGACTTGCCTGATGAGTGTGCCTCGTCTTTAATCGAGGCAGGGGTTACACCAAGGGTCATCAAAGGGGTCAGCGCTGACTTGAATGCCATCGTAACGCAAAAACCAATGCCTGGGCTAGTTCACAAAGCCGGCTTTGTTGGCAAGATGATGAATTTCTTTCGGGGGCGCGATAGTTTCGGCGTCGACTTTACGGATTATGTCATGCCTGGCAGTTTCCCCAGCAACTTTCCAGAGACACGGAAGAAGGAGCCGGCAGTCTCGGAGGCGAGTAACATTGCGGTTAATACTGAGGAGCGACAATCGAAGGGAAATCCGCCAAAGGCATTTATGCCGGTCACGGAAACGGATACCTACGCTTACATTCGAGAGCACCTTGCTGAGATGGAAACGAAAGGAAAGCCTTCGCACACGCAAACGACGATTGAAGGGACTTCTGAGGATCCTGTACCTAAGGGGATAACAAGTCCAATCTCCAAGAGAGACAAGTCGTCACCAGCATTGAAGCGCTTACAGAAATCGCGAGGATTGAAGAGGGTGCACTTCTCTTCCCCATCGAAGCAATCCTTGCCGCCTCCAGGCAAACCCACTGGCTTCCTCTCCAAGTTCTTTCGCTCTCGCGCCGAATCAAGCATAGGCTCTCAAGTTCGAAAGGATGAAGCCGAGAGTTTCCTCGGTGGGACACAGACTGACGGATCACCCGACAGTCGAAGGTCTGAGGTCACAACCCAGGATCCAGAGACTGAAGCGGAGTCAGACAACACTTCCGAAGACACCAAAAGCGAGGATACCATGGCTAGATATAGGCCCAGGCATGTGCAACATCTAAACTCGTCCATCAGAGGCCACAAGTTGAGAGCTCTCTCCGATGACAGCGAGCCCCCAAGAGTTCCTACAAGATCACCGAGCCCCCCGACATTGGCTGGGTTGAGAATTTCGGATGATAAGGAAGGAGAATTAGATGACCTGAGCGCTGCCTTGCAGTTGATGCTTGATGAGGGCGAAGCACAACGACGTGCCGAGGAAGGCAGAAAAGCCAAGCAGGCGGAGGAAGAAAGGCTGCAACGAACGGGAGGCCTTCGCGTCCCCAAGAAGCGATTAGTCAAGTCGCTGTCGACAGATTGGGCGGCAAAAGTGCAAGACAGTATTCATGCAGACCCCCAGCAGGTGCTCGCTAAAACGGCCGAAAATGTGGAACTCAGGCGACACGACTTCCTGAAGGTCGTTCCGGAAACCGAATGGCTTAACGACGAAATCGTCAACGGCTCGCTGCTGTGGCTGGATCGATATGTCAATGAAGCGGCAGGCGCAACCGATGTCAAGTCGACGAAGAGGGTATGCCTCGCCATGAATTCATTCTTCTATAAGAGACTAGTGGACAACGGTGTTCAGAATACTGAAAGGGCGCTGCGACGGTACGGGGTTACGAAGGCTACTTTTCTCAACCTTGAGACGATCCTCATGCCCATCTGCAGCGGCAATCATTGGACATTACTGGTTGTTCGGCCACAAAAGCGAACAGTTTCACACATGGATTCACTCAATCCGCGAGGCACATCGACACATACCAAGAGAGGTCTAGCATGGGTGCAGGCGGTTCTTGGAGACGACTTCAAGGCAGACGAGTGGCGCGTTGTAAAGCACGAGGCGCCAGAGCAAGACAACGGGTACGACTGCGGCGTGTTCACCATCACCAATGGCATATGTTTGGCGTTGGGCCTCAACGCCATCGACGCATACTCGAAGGATGAGCTACCACTTCAGCGCCGTAGAATCGCAGGGATGCTATTGAACAAAGGGTTCAAGGGCGACTTTGATCTAGCCGACCTCTGAGTTCTTATTAACGGGGTTAAGAGTCCCGGTCATTTGACTGGACTGCATGGAGGGGTGGTCAATATTTTGAATGTGTTGAGGACCAAACGGTTGTGTCGTCAAACGGACGGGTAGAGAGAAGATGGAAATGATGAGGGGCGACATCTGGGTGCCGTATTTTTGCTTCTGACAAGTTGGTCGAAGGGACAGGTCAAATGGCGTTGAAAAAGCTGCTTGGAGTTCTTGGGATACCACATAGAAACCGATTCAGGTTTCTCCTGCAATGTTTCAAATCGAATTTCATGGCCTTTCGCATTCCACCCTCGCCTATAGCGGACTGAAGGTTACATTTGATCAGTTGCTTGATTATAACCGGCCTGGATCACGTGAATGATGGGCAAACAAACTAGTGCCGCCGATACGGATAACCAAAGCTCTCTACGTCCCCCCCCCTCCCCCCCCAACCAACCTTGTTTACCATCTACAATCCATGGAAGCTCGAGCATTGAACGGGACGCAAAAGCTCGGCTGGCAAATACTGGACCACTTTGAGACGGCTTCGAGCCGACGAATGCAACAGAGATTGGGTGTGTTTGTTAGCAGGGCAGGCGGTTTCAGGTGCGGAAGCTAAGCGACGACCAATAAATCTCTGCGCGACCAACGGCTGCAACGCTGTCCCTCAACGAGCTGGGCTCATTGGGACAGACCATGGGCTGGCCGCGAGGAATTCCGTTGTGTCCGCCAAGCGTGACCCACGATCTGCCCAGGGTTCAGATGTTCCGTCGGCCGTCTTGACACAAGTCGAGGCAGCTGCCAAGAGGCGGGAAGAGGTGGGCTCGGGTTCCGAAGATTCAGCGACTCAGGCAGGTGCATTGTTGAAGCGTTTGGCGCTCCCGAGGTGGCGACATGTAAGTCAGAGATGAGAGACGCGGAACGAGAAGAAGGGACTGGCCGAGAGGGGAGAAGGGAAAAAAAAAAAAAAAAAAAAAAAAAAGAAGAAGAAGAAAACAGGGGCCGTTGGGAGGCACGGCAAGGGCAGCTGGTGGAGTGTTGCGTGACGGCCACTCCGCACCGGAGAGGGAAGATGTTGGTTTTCACGTATTGGACAGATGTTCGCAGTTATTGACGGCTATTCTCTCGAGACAGGATCAGGTACGGAGAGGGACGGAAGAAAGGCGGATCTCTGGGGATGCGCATGGGGGGAGGGATCTGCTTGATGTTGCTGCAGATCGTGTTGAATATACTATGTGCTTACTCCGTCCCAACCCGGCGTGGGAAAGATTGGGAGGACAGGGCAGGGCGCAGTTGGAGTCTACGCAATGGGTGGCCCGCGCCGGCGTGATGAGGTTATCGTTGGAGGCGGGCGGGCCGAGGACCACAACCAACACCGGACTCGACTGAGGTGGACCTTGCAAACCGAGCCGAGGGATTCGGTTCACGAAACGACGACGGATTCTAGCGGCGGCAACAACTGACAGTTGTTCAGAAAAAAAAATTAGGTTGAAAGTGGGGAAAAGCGGATGGGAATGGAGACGAAAGTGAGGTCAACAAGCGACGGACGGGCAGCGGTGCGGTGTTGGCGAGTCGCGCGGGCTGCGACTGTTGGACGACAAGACAGCGTTGGACGAGAATGATATGCTGACTATCAACTCAGGTAAGCGGCGGCATTACCTTAGAGTCAATGCGTGGGGAATACAGGATTTGACTGGCCAAGTTTGCGGCAGGCAGGACCTTTTTCTGAAAGGGATGGCTTGAGATGAAGAGTCAGAAGGGTCGCTGTCAGAGGCAGAATATTCTGCTTGGGCAAATGATACTTGTCGCGGGCCCGTCCATCATCATCGGTCGGGCATCCCTGAGAAGCCTTCACATCCAGCATGGCAAACATGGCATGAACAGATTTTGCTCGTTTGCTGCACAGAATCGGAATGCTGAACCGCGCGGGCGGATGCGGATGCGGATATTGCGAGGGTGAGGTGAGAGCGCAACGTGGAGCGGTCCCAGATTCGGGTTCCCGGCGAGGCCGTGGGCGCTACGGGAAATTTCCAAAGTGGTGAGTGTGACCGTGGTCGTCGTCGTCGTCGTCGTCGCTGGGCCCTGGTCTGGTTGCATCACTCAGGGATTTCCCCGTCTGAGCGGCAACGAGTGACTTCACTGCATGGCTCGTCTTGCCCACGACTCCTGGTCCATGTTGCTGTTCCCTTGGTCAGTCGGAGGAGGTGGTGGTCGTGGTGGTCGTGGTCATGGGCGTGAGAGTGAGGTGGGCTGAGTGTGTGTGCGCGCGTGTGTTTGGCGCTGCGTCAGTGAAGTTGTGTTCCATCCGCAGCCACCCGGGCACCGTTCCAGCAGGGAGTGCCTGGCCGCTCCAGAGGAGGGTCCAGTGGAAGGCAGCTGAGCGCGAGGCCGCAGGACATCCATGGATGAGGTGGGTTCCGCACTAGACCGAGAGGGGCAGGGTTCTAGAAGCATGGAAGCCTTCCACCCGTGGCACCCATCCACTCTGTTCCCCCCTCAAACCCGACAGACGGGAGGGACTTGTGTTGCTGACGGGCCCTGACGGGCGGATGCATGGAAGATTCTTTACGTGTTCCTCCTTCGGACCACGGCGATGTCAAGCAGAGCAGCAAGTACGTTCCCTACATACTGCGGTACGATACATACATGGATACCATAGT